GCCTGCTGGGGTGAGAGGTAATCACGCTTACCACTACACCACCGGCGCCGTTGACGCACAACATTTGACAATCGCCTTTCGTCCGGGAGGTGGAACGCCAGCACGCAGCAAGCAAAGGCAAGAAAAAATGCACACTCACAGCACGACACGAGCTGAACTGCTAACGTTGAAAGCCAAACGCGAACTATGGTCGCATGCATCTTAAAATTTCGATTCTTAATCATGCAAGCTGTTATTGTTTAATCAATTTTATCAATGGATTTTTCAATATTTTTCAATACATAACAAATAAAGCATGTGCACCAATGTTATCAAATTAAAACTTTTGATACATATAAATCAGTTCATGGTCACATACAAAAAGCATTGCGAAACTATTAACTTTACTATGACATAAACCAAATCGAAACAATACTTCAATTCTATTCTTAATTAAGACACACACAAATAAATACAATGTTTAAGCATATACTAATTAGTTAAGAATTTCTGCTTATCTAAAAAAATTTATAAATATGACATGAAATGTGATGAAGTGTAACAAAACTTTTAATTTCATTCTGTTAACTATTGAAAAATGGTTAAAAGTAAACCATTGTCTAAAGATGGTGAAAATCGATTGATTTTTTTATATTCTTACCGTGCGGGACCGAAATCCGTACAGCACCGAAATCCGTACACCCTGTTGAATTTGTTTGTTTATATGCATCATAACAATGTAAATATTATACATGAATACATATTCATGTTCATTCATGCATCAGCTTGATGTTTACTTCAACAATTAAGCAGTATAACATGCAATTAAAATAAGAAAAATAAAAACCTTATCACGTGTCGGGCATTTCTGTCAATCGGTTGAGTTCTTAACGATTTTCTAAGAAAATGTCTCGGATTTACTTCCAGTTGTTAAGCGTATTTAAGTGATTTTTGCAAGTAGTTTCCTGAAGGTCGATCGGAAAGGTAAGTGTTTATCGTTTTATATCTCAATTCTAAGCAATGGATCGTTCATATGGTATTTATTTATCAAAATTAGTACTGTACGGATTTCGATCCATATATAACAGCTGATTCTAAATCCGTACACTTGTGCATCACTAATGACGATTCTACTTTATCTAATGTTTTTCAGCAGATCATGGAAACTAAATACACGCCGGAGGATTTGGAGAAGACTGTGGCAATGATGCGTGCGGAGAAATCTTACCGAGAAGCATCCAGGGATTTTGCCGTTCAATTCACCACCATAAGAGATGCCGTATTGAATCGCTACTCTCTTATTTTATTCGTATTGTAAACGTTATATTATTAATATCTTTTAATGAAGAGCGTCAAGAACCAGCCGAAAAGTAAAACAACGCAGCTCCCCTACAGGATATCACCAACACGCATATACAAATCAGGGACCATGCATAAATGACGTAGCATTTGAGGGGGGAGGTGAGGGTTTCAGAATTTGTGACCGGCCATGTATTGGATATAGCCAAATACGCTACGAGGGGGGGGGGGAGGAGTATAAAATTGATCAAAAATATGCTACGTCATTTTTGGATGCTCCCTTACAGAGAGCAGACAGAAATGGGCCAGAGAGCATTCCCAGCTACCAGCGAGGAATGACCGGAAATACACATGAAAGTAGTGCGGGCGAAAATTGATAAAGAGAACGCAAAGAAACAAAGGATTGAGGAACGACAAAAGAAAAAGGTTGAGCGAGAGAGGAAGAGGAGGAAGAAAAGGAAGAAGAGCAAAGAAAGTTCCCTAATAAACGATACCATGAACGAACTTTATCCCGGATGGGTAAACTTTCCCACAAATGGTTTGGATGATACCCCGAACACGTCGTTAAGCTCTCTATTATGGTTATTTTTATTAGGGTTGGAAGCAAGAAAGCATTATAACTTGAAAAGGCAATGGTAACAATGGAGAAGAAGCAGAAGAAAGCTGTGGAAAAGAAGCAATGAAAGATCTGTATTTTTATGATTATTACTCTCTTGACGTATTAAATTAAATTAAGTTATAGTCGTTATTTTACCATTTTTAATTTTCATGCACAAAACGAAAACTAATCCTTGATGTCAGTTCATTGTCTTTTTTTGTTGGTTTCTAAGATGGTTGTATTTTTCTTTTACTTATCCGCCATTATAGGGCTACCATCTTAGGAACCGGTTAATTTATCGCTTGATACCAGTGGGTTGGTGGAGTTCCAAAGTATGGCGCATCTTGCACGTTATCACATGTCAAATTTCAAAAACCTCGAAGTTTTGATCGGAGGAAAACTCCAGTAAGAATATTTAACCCAAAGCACTGGTATAGAATAAAATTTGGAAGAAATTAATCCTTAAACATGATATTAGTTAGCATAAAAATCCAGAACAGTTACCTTCTTAAATACAAAGAATTCAGTTACCTCTCCTTTGAATCGATTGGAGCATCAATTAATCTAACGCTGATATCATTAGTAAAAAAAGTAAAAGTAAAAAAAATGAACTTGAACCTTTGAAGAATGATTCTTATGTAAAATCGTGCACTGAATTCAACAATGTAGTCGAAAAAATGTCAGTAGGATAGTTTTTGAGATACAGCTAAAAATGAAAATTCACTTTAAACAAGTTTGATTACTATAATACAAATATCTCCGGTTGTAATGAGATTATATCAATTATTTTAACGCTAAATTAGAGGTAAGAAATTTTTTCGTTCGATCAATTGAACATCAATTGTCAGTGAGATTGATGGTATTGTTGTTAGTTAATAGTTTGTTTTTTAAGTTTTCCTAAGAAAAATTGAATTTCTGCTAAGTTTTTAAGCAATGTTAATTAAAATGTTTATGGTGGTTCTACCATTACTCTCACGGAAAAATAGTGTTATAACGATCGAAATAAAATTTTATCACGTTTAATTTGGCGTTAAAATAATTAATATTACTTCATTGCAGCCAGAGATATTTGTGTTTTAGTTTTTTTAACGTGAGATTTCATTTTTTAGCCATGGGAAGGAGGGGCATAGTGAACAGGCGGGGCATAGTGAGCATCCCGTACTTTGGCTCTGGATCTCCAACTGCATGAAACAAATCAACTGGTAGTAGGATCAATATCCTTAAGATATTGATCCTACAGCCAACAAATTTGTTCTGAACGGCCGGAAGTCCAAGCTGGAGCACGCGTGATGCTCACTATGCCCCACCTGTTCACTATGCCTCTCTTACCCCTATATCTCCAAAACTATCCTACCGAGATTTTTTTTGACTATATTTTTAGATTCAGCGCACGATTTTACATGGGAAATGACCATCAGCGTACAAAGTTCAAATATGCTGTAAACTAGTGTATTTAAACGAATATAGCTGTTTTGGACTCTTAGCCAAGCAACTACAAAAAAAAAATACTTTATTCAAGATAGCAACACGTTTTTTTTTTCATTGAGTTGGATCGATTTACATTCATGTACGGATTTTGATTCATGACTGTACGGATTTTGATTCATCCTCAACACAGTGTACGGATTTCGATTCAAAACTGTACGGATTATGATTCAATCGTAAAACGCTGTACGAATTTTGATTCAAGATATGTGCAATTTAAATCCTTTTTTCTAATAATTGAAGGTAATTTTAAGACCTGGTGTTTGCAAATATTGGAAAAATAAAGATAAATGTAAAGGAAAAAGATGTGATACAGAGCATAATGTGATAGCATTATTTAGTATTGACCGTTAATGATTCTCTCGTGCTTAGGTGTACGGATTTCGGTCCCGCACGGTATACTTTCTCCAACCGAGACATCAGATGCGAGTATCTGACGCCTCTGATATTTTCTGTTCTACTATATAAGCGTCCAACAAAGTCGCCCGTTCCATCATTGTCTATCCGATCGTCGACCCAGCAGCAGAGCAGCAGAGCAGCAGAGCAGCAGTACCAGAGCAGCGGAAGCAGAGCCTGGGGGCGAAAGGGCAACTACGCCGAGTGCGTTGTTGCCAGTGCTCCGGTATACTGGGCCGCCGTCATGGAATGAACAGCTGCTTCAGTTCTCAGTCGGTCGTATTCACCGTCTGCTCCGTAAGGGCAACTACGCCGAGCGCGTTGGGAAAATGGCCCTTTTCAGGGCCACAACATTATCAAGAAAGAGTTTAACGTACGTATGCGAGTATCTGACACCTCTGATATTTTCTGTTCTACTATATAAGCGTCCAACAAGGTCGCCCGTTCCATCATTGTCAACAACATCAGCCCAACAAAACGGCCCTTTTCAGGGCCACCAAACTTTCGCAAAAGAGTTATTAAGGAATATTCCTAAAATATAATATACACAATTAAGTACAACACATAACAGACGTTATCCAACGCCAACCCTGCGGTCGTATGTAGTATACAACCCTTCCAACTTTTTTTTGTTTTACAATCTATACGAAAAGTTAATTATGAAGCGGAAACTGTGAACTGTGCTAACTTTCTGTCGTGCTTTGACCACATACGCGTGACTCTTTTATACGTCTGCACGTGCGTGAATAAGCCAGCATGCCACATCAACACTGGCATGGTATCTGTTCGCACGCCGGTAGCTACACACGAGGCGGCGTCTCGTAAACAAACCGATCGATATAAAGCTCCGACGCCTTTCAAGGTATAAGATGTAGTCAAGCTTCCTATCGCTCTTGTTGTGTTAGTAACCAACCTATCGTCATCGTCCGTCAGTGCCATTGGCTGGCGACGGCCACGACGATGTCCAACCACCGCGTAATTTCATCGAACATCAGTTGCTGGTAGATCATGTCGGTGTAAGGTTCAGCGTTCGAAACAACGTGCATTTTAAGTGTTTCTTAAAATTTCTCTGTTGCATATACCGTCTGCGTCTCCACTCTCCAGTGATAGCCGGTAATTTTTCTCATTTTCGTTTTGTCATTCTGTTCTGTTTTTGTGTTTTTTGTGTCACATAAAAGGTGGATAACATCTTAACTCAAGGTTATTTCATCTATACACAGTTACCAGCTGGTGGCGATCAAAATATATGGCATACATATACCTATTTCGAATGGAAGTGTGATTTGATAACAGAGGCTAGAGTATCTTGGGTCAACCGGGAGTACATCCTTCAGAAAGTGCGCCCTATTACTCAGTCCAATCAGCTGTTCATCTTCAGTGAATCCATCTAACGGCGAATAAAAAGAACTTTGCCTGCGGACAAAAAAAAATATTGCGTAATATGAAGTGGTGCGTATGTGATTAGTGGATGTCAATTTGGTGTTTTCGGTAGTGTTCACAGCTGCTGTTGGAAATAAAGATTCCATATTATTCCAGTATCTGGTACAGATTGACTGACAGACGTAAAACCGATGTGGTTCGACGATAAGATTTTTTGTGACACAATTTGTCATTGATTGACTATATTTTTATGTTATCGCCTTTTAGATTGCATTCATTTTAAAGTAGCTTCAATAAAACTAACGAACCAAAACTCATAAAATCAATCTGGTCTAGACAAATCCGATGCCAATGACAAATGAAGTGAACAATTATATTTAATGATGATTACATCCGGATTGGACGTATTTTGCAATGTCTACGATGATTCTATCAACTTGTAAAGACACTAACCTCAATCTGTTGTTCCTACTACAAGTAAAAGCTACAAAGTCTATTATTATCATTCTCTTATCATCAAACTAGCAGGAGAGAATCGTACGACTTAACAATGATTTGAACCAAAAGGCAACCATCGAAACAGGTACCTACATTAATATTCTGGATTTCGTTTCATTTTGGATGGCTACAAAAACCGGATTGCCGAATGATTAAAAACATTCCAGTTGGATCCAGTTATCTGCTGGGCTAAATTCGTCTGTCCATTAATGCTTTATTATTGGTTACGTAACGGGTAGTGGTAATGAATTTATTTATAGCATATATAAAACGATACCGCTTCTTCCAAAATTAAGCGAAATTTGGCACCGTCACAAGTGGATGCACTCGACTATAACCTATTTCCATGCTAATAACTCAGTGCACGCTTCGAAGAAAGCTCGAATAGATTGAGCCGGTTCTATGCACTAATGGAAATATAAAACATTGCTCACCCATTGGTAAGAATCTCACCAACACATGCGTGAGTTATTAAGTGTGACTATGTCTGGACTGACGTCGTTAATTACCTTGAAAAGGGTCAACCGCCCGAATAGAAATTTACATTAACCCAACGTTTGATTTTGATGTCTACATCAGCATCGAAATCAAATGTATGCCTGATGTCAAACATTAGGAAACATTATGATTTAGTTGTATTTAAGCAACGTAACATGGTGTATACATCAGAAATTTTGGAACAAAATTTTGCCATTCTAATGTCGGTCTGACGTCAAAAATTTCAATCTATTGACATTAGAACCAAACGTTTTAAGGATGTTTTCAGATGTACAAAACGTTAGAACTAAACGTTGTTCGGATGTTTTTAAATGTAAACGTTTTCTGATGTTTTCTAATGTAGATGTTTCCTGATGTTAGAAACAAACGTTTTTGGATGTTTTCAGATGTAAAAAACGTTAGAACTAAACGTTTTTCGGATGTTTTTATATGTAAACGTTTTCTGATGTTTTCTAATGTAGAGGTTTCCTGATGTTAGAATCAAACGTTTTTCGGTTGTTTTCGGATGTACACAACGTTAGAACTAAACGTTGTTCGGATGTTTTCAATTGTACTTCGTGTTTGATGTTCTCTGATGTTTTCAGATGTACAAAACGTTTAAAGTAAACGTTGTTTGAATGTTTTCAAATGTAGATGTTTACTAATGTTTTTAGATATACAAAACACTAGAATCTTACTTTTCAAATGCTTTCAATTATATTTACAACACATTAGAACTAGAAACATGATCGTGTAAACACTACACACGATTGTTGTTAGATTACATCATAAAAATGCGTGCATAACAGTCAATGCTGAAGCTCCCGTTTCCCACCAGTCAGTTAACTGACCTTAGCTAACCTAATATCATTGCGGCAACTCTCTATGCGGCAGGGGAACTATGCCATTAGCGCGCTAAGAGTTGTTAGACCACTGACATAGGCGCCAATTTGTAGGTGACGAGGCACTTGGTGACATTACAGCGAGCTTGACGATTTTTGCAGCATTTTTTTTAGCAAACTACCAGTTAAGGTGTGTAGTGTTTACAAGATCTTGTTTCTAGCTCTAATGCTTTGTACAATTGAAAGTATTGAAAAAGTTAATTCTCATGTTTTGCACAACAGAAACCATCAGAAAACATAAAATTGTACAAAAAAAGTCATCCATTCTGGTAGACTATCTCTTTAATGCATAAAGAATAGCCATTGCTTAAGCTCCCGTTTCCCACCAGTCAGTTAACTGACCTTAGCTAACCTAATATCATTGTGGCAACTCTCTATGCGGCAGGGGAACTATGCCATTAGCGCGCTAAGAGTTGTTAGACCACTGACATAGACGCCTATTCGTGGGTGACGAGGCACTTGGTGACATTACAGCGAGCTTGGCGATTGTTATAGCATTTTTGAGTGAACTACCAGACAATCATGACAATGTGATCGCTGCGCCTCCAGATCTCCCTTTAAATCGACCCACTGTGCCAGTGTTCTCATTGACTTCGTTCCGTAGCTTATTAACTAAAGTATCGTACCAAATGCATAATTGAATTGACGAACTCTGAAATAATGGATTTCTATTGAAGTTTTCTGCTCGATAGGCCCAAAACGGGCGATTAGGCCGAAGTAGTTCTCTACCCTACGTTATTATGACATTTTGTATTTTTAAGTTACAAGAGGACGTTGCAAAGGATGAGTTTGACGTATGAAACCTGTGCATTTAGTTTTCAGAGAGTCGCAATCAGCGAATTATTCATTAAATCACTTATGGCTGTAAGCTTCAATCGGTATTATCCTCGGATTATATCCCGATCAAGAATGTCCGGCTGCTTTGATGTCGACATCAGAGTTATTCAACACGATGCTATGCAAACAATACGCAGATCATCCAAACAGGGACGGTATTAAAAGTTAATCCGAGTTGGAGCTTACCGCCATTATTGCGGCTCTCTGAATCCAATATTAATAGGTTGAAAAAATGGTTTAAAAATGGAACCTAAATCAAAAAATTTCATAAATTTTGGTTCACATGAACTATGATAAATCAGTGTTATTACATTTGCAAACATCACTATTTTAGCGGCCCTCGCCATAGAGCGAACTGTCATTCAAAAGGATATTAATGTCATCTAAAGCAATTTATCGACAATTTAAATCTTGGTTTACAAATCGAGATGAATGTCTATGGGAACGATAAAAATATATTTGTGCTCAGAAAACGAAGCTCGTTCAGATGATGTATAAAAATTTGTTTGTTTTTCGAAATTATACAACCCAATTCCAGGTTTTCCACACAAAACGATAACTAATGGATACGTATTCGGTTTCCCCATTGGGACCCGTATTCGGTTATCCCATCGGGATCCGTATTCGGTTTCCCCATTGGGACCCGTATTCAGTTTTCCCATCGGGATCCGTATGCGGTTTTCCCATCGGGATCCGTATTCGGTTTCCCCATCGGGATCCGTCTACGGAATCCCCATCGGAATCCGTATTCGGTTTCCCCATTGGGATCCGTATTCTGTTTCCCCATCGGAATCCGTATTCGGTTTCCCCATTGGGACCCGTATTTGGTTTTCCCAATGGGTTCCGTATTCGGTTTTCCCATCAGGATTCGTATTCGGTTTCCCCATCGGGATCCGTATTCGGTTTTCCCATCGGGATCCGTATTCGGTTTCCCCATCGGGATCCGTCTACGGAATCCCCATCGGGATCCGTATTCGGTTTCCCCATTGGGATCCGTATTCGGTTTCCCCATTGGGACCCGTATTCGGTTATCCCATCGGGATCCGTATTCGGTTTCCCCATTGGGACCCGTATTCAGTTTTCCCATCGGGATCCGTATTCGGTTTTCCCATCGGGATCCGTATTCGGTTTCCCCATCGGGAACCGTATTCGGTTTCCCCGTCGGGATCCGTCTACGGAATCCCCATCGGGATCCGTATTCGGTTTCCCCATTGGGACCCGTATTCGGTTTTCCCATCGGGATCCGTATTCGGTTTCCCCATCGGGATCCGTATTCGGTTTCCCCGTCGGGATCCGTCTACGGAATCCCCATTGGGATCCGTATTCGGTTTCCCCGTCGGGATACGTATTCGGTTTTCCCATCGGGATCCGTATTCGGTTTCCCCATCGGGATCTGTATTCGGTTTCCCCATTGGGACCCGTATTCGGTTATCCCATCGGGATCCGTATTCGGTTTCCCCATCGGGATCCGTCTACGGAATCCCCATCGGGATCCGTATTCGGTTTCCTCATTGGGATCCGTATTCGGTTTCCCCGTCGGAATCCGTATTCGGTTTCCCCATTGGGACCCGTATTTGGTTTTCCCAATGGGTTCCGTATTCGGTTTTCCCATCGGGATCCGTATTCGGTTTCCCCATCGGGATCCGTATTCGGTTTCCCCGTCGGGATCCGTCTACGGAATCCCCATCGGGATCCGTATTCGGTTTCCCCATTGGGACCCGTATTTGGTTATCCCATTGGGATCCGTATTCGGTTTTCCCATCGGGATCCGTATTCGGTTTCCCCGTCGGGATCCGTCTACGGAATCCCCATCGGGATCCGTATTCGGTTTCCCCATTGGGACCCGTATTCGGTTTTCCCATCGGGATCCGTATTCGGTTTCCCCATCGGGATCCGTCTACGGAATCCCCATCGGGCTCCGTTTACGGAACCCGTCATCGGGCTTGTAGCTTTTAGTAAAAAAATACACTGACTAACCTGCAAAGAGATCTGGCTGCAAACTCCCCGCCCGGGATCCAGCTTCGGATTCCCTACCGGGATTCGGCTGGGACTGGTACCGGTACACTTTCCTAAAAACAAAAAATAATTACATTACATTAAATTAATAAATTCACATTTACTTACCAGAAAAACATTGCATCGCCACCAAAACTTGCGACGGACACATTATTGGCACTTTCCCGGGCTAATTCGTAAACAAATCAAACTTTTCCCATACTGCGAAAAAAAACTGTACACGGCCAATGAGATCACGCATATTTGAGTACAGTGTACTCAATATCGAAAAAAGTGCAGGATGAGTAAATTTGCCGCATGTTTTCCTGTGGAAAACCTCAAAAATCTGGAAAATTTACG